CAATTTTTATCCGATTTTGTTGAAAATTGAAATGTAAGTTTATAACCCAAAGATCTCGGATCCTTTCGATATTCGCGCATATCGGACTGTAACTTCCTGAATTATGGCCCCTGATTGTACGAAAAATCGTGTTTTTAGCTTGTGGACCCTATAGAGGTCATAATTTTTATCCGATTTAAAAAAACGTATTATTATATCACCGTTACACCCTAAGGAAGGCTGAGTTTGAATATCGTGAAAATCGGCCCAAAATTGACAGACAAAATGGCCGCCATTCGTTCTCAAATAGCGTAAAAATATGGTAAATCAAGGTTGTGGACCCTATAGAGGTCACAATTTTTATCCCATTTTGTTGAAACTTGAAATGTAAGTTTATAACCAAAAGATCTCGGTCCCTTTCGATATTTGCTCATATCGGACCGTAACTTTCTGAATTTTGGCCTCTGATTGTACGAAAAATCACGTTTTTAGCTTGTGGAGCCTATAGAGGTCATAATTTTTATCCGATTTAAAAAAAACGTATTATTATATCACCGTTACACCCTAAGGACGGCTGAGTTCGAATTTTGTGAAAATTGGCCCAAAACTGACAGACAAAATGGCCGCCCTTCGTTCTCAAATAGCGTAAAAATCGGCCCAAAATAGACAGAAAAAATGGCCGCCGTTCGTTCTCAAATAGCGTAAAAATATGGTATATCAAGATTGTGGACCTTATAGAGGTCACAATTTTTATCCGATTTTTTTGAAACTTGAAATGTAAGTTTATAACCCAAAGATCTCGGTTCCTTTCGATATTCGCGCATATCGGACCGTAACTTCCTGAATTATGGCCCCTGATTGTACGAAAAATCACATTTTTAGCTTGTGGACCCTATTGAGGTCATAATTTTTATCCGATTTAAAAAATCGTATTATTATATCACCGTTGCACCCTAAGGACGACTGAGTTCGAATTTCGTGAAAATCGGCCCAAAACTGACAGACAAAATGGCCGCCCTTCGTTCTCAAATAGCATAAAAATATGGTATATCAAGGTTGTGGACACTATAAAGGTCACAATTTTTATCTGATTTTGTTGAAACTTGAAATGTAAGTTTATAACACAAAGATCTCGGTTCCTGTCGATATTCGCGCATATCGGACTGTAACTTCCTGAATTATGGCCCCTGATTGTACAAAAAATCACTTTCTTTTTAGCTTGTTCTCTATCCATCTCTCGAAAATGTGGGCGTATCCTGCCTGGCAGCTGCTGGTTTTTGTTGATGTCTGGATATATTAAAGGGAATGGAAGCTTAAAAGTTTAAAACCCAGTTCCAACCCGGACCTCATTTGACCCAATTCTGGCCGGTTCGTTTCAAAATGGATTAATAACTCTGGTGACTCTACAGTTCACAATTTTTATTTGATTTTGAGGAAACTTAAAATATAGGTCCAAAGATCTCAGTTCTTTTCGATATTGGCATAAATCGGACCATAACTTGATGGAATTGTGCATATCGGATAGTAAATTCCTGAATTATGGCCCCTGATTGTACGCAAAATCGCGTTTTTAGCTTGTGGTTCCTCTAGAGGTCAATATTTTTATCCAATTTAAAAAAAAAGTTTGAATATATCACCGTTACACCCTATTGATGGTTGAATTCGAATTTCGTGAAAATCAGACCAAAACTGCCACACAAAATGGCCACCCCTTGTACGCAAATAGTGTAAATATATGGTATATCAAGGTTGTGGACCCTCCAGAGGACACAATTTAGATCTGATTTTGATTAAACTTGAAATACATGTTTATAACCCAAAGATCTTGGTTCCTTTCAATATTTGCGCATATCGATCGTAACTGACTGAATTATGGCCCTTGATTTATGTACGAAAAATCGCTTTTTTAAATTGTGGTGCCTCTTAGAGGTAAAATTTTTTATCCGATTTGAAATAATCGTTGGAATATATCACTGTTACAATCTATTGATGATCGAGTTTGAATTTCGTGAAACATCGAACCAAAACTGCCGCACAATTGGGCCACCCCTCGTACGCAAATAGTTTGAATATATGGTGTATCAAGGTTGTGGACCCTCTAGAGGCCACATTTTTGATATGATTTGATGAAACTTGAAATACATGTTTATAACCTAATGATCTTGGCTCCTTTTGATATTCGCCCATATCGATTGTTAATTACTGATAATTACCGCCAGAGTTATGGCCCTTGATCACTTTGAAAAATCTTGTGGACGCTCTAGAGGCCAAAGTTAATATTCGATTGACTTTAAATTTATACTCAGTGTTTAAGGTCATGAGACGAAGAAGCTTATTGATTTTCAGCGATTTCCTATAATTACTGCCAGAGTTATGGCCCGTCTGTCCGTCCGTCGGTCCTGCGTCCACAATTTAATATCGGATTGACTTTAAATTTATACACAGTGTTTAAGGTTATGAGACGAAGAAGCCTATTGATTTTCAGCGATTTCCGATAATTACTGCCAGAGTTATTGCCCTTGATCACTTTGAAAAATCTTGTGGACGCTCTAGAGGCCAAAGATAATATCCGATTGACTTTTAATTATACACAGTGTTTAAGGTTTCAGCGATTTCCGATAATTACTGCCAGAGTTATGGCCCTTGTTCACTTTGAAAAATCTTGTGGACGCTCTAGAGGCCAAAGTTAATATCCCATTGACTTTAAATTTATACACAGTGTTTAAGGTCATTAGACGAAGAAGCCTATTGATTTTCAATGATTTCCGATAATTACTGCAAGAGTTATGGCCCTTGATCACTTCAAGAAATCTTGTGGACGCTCTAGAAGTCCTTGATCACTTTGTGACACTCTAAAGGCTAAAGTTATCATCCGATTGACTTCAGATTGAAACACAAAGTTTAAAGTAGCTAAGTCTCTAACTTAATATCATCAAAAATTTTCAACACTGAAAACACGAATTATTTGTCAATTCAAATCAACATTGGTCTTGTGATCTTATAGGGAAAAGATGGGCTTCTGATATCCAATATTCAAGACAAAATAAACATTTTACCATTTGTACACGAATCGTGTACCATAATGCATTTCAGCACTATTTGGAACATGGGACTCAAAGAGGCTAGACATATTCCACAAGTCATTTCAAATGGTGACGCTATATTCTTATCTTGAGAGCATACTCAATAAATACCATCGGTGTAGACTGGAATAACCAGACGCTAAAGATTGTCATTTAATTGAGACTTTGGCGCATTTCGCCGAATATAACTGACTAGAAATTACATGTATAGTAAAAACAGAAACGATTGAATGTAACTCAGTTTATATACATTCATATTACATTATTATATGCGTTGCGACCCATTTGTGTCAATTTCTAGGTCCCATATATTAGCGATTTAGCTCCTTTAAGATCTTGAGACGAACAAGTATATTGATTTTCAATGAATTTTTATGACTTGAACAGCTAAATCCTTGATATTAAAAGTTTTGTATTAAGAACTTTTGGGGCAGAACTTTATAAAAACCAGACAAATTTTAATGGTTTTCTGATAATTACTTATTGAGTTGTTGCTCTTAATCAGATTTTAGTTTATTATGAATGTTTCATTACCGAAAAAAGTAAAAATATGCGACAACTCTTGTTGACTGCCCGGGAGATTTAGCGGCTGTAGGTGTATGTTTCATTGCCTGGCAACCTATCTTTTAGCTTGTGGTGCCTCTAGAGGTCAAATTTTTTATCCGATTTAAAAAAAAACGTTGGGAATATATCACTGTTACACCCTATATATGAATTATGGCCCTTGATTTATGTACAAAGAATCGCATTTTAGGTTGTGAAAATCAGACCAAATTGAAATACATGTTTATAACCCAAAGACCTTGGTTCCATTTGATATTCGTGCATATCGGATAGCAAATTCCTGAATTATGGCCATTGATTGCAGGAAAAATTGTGTTTTTAGCTTGTGGTTCCTCAGACGTCACCATTTTTATCTGATTGAAAAAAACTTTTGAATATATCACTGTTATACCCTAATAACAACGGAGTTCGAATTTCGTGAAAATGGGACAAAAACCGTCGGACAAATGGTCGCCCGTCGTATGCAAATAGTGTAAATATATGGTATATCAAGGTTGTAGACCTTGGTTCCTTTTGTTATTCGTGCATATCGGATAGCAAATTCTTGAATTATGGCCATTGATTGCAGGAAAAATTGCGTTTTTAGCTTGTGGTCACCATTTTTATCTGATTGCAAAAAAACTTTTGAATATATCACTGTTACACCCTAATAACAACAGAGTTCGAATTTCGTGAAAATGGGACAAAAACAGTCGGACAAATGGTCACCCGTCGTATGCAAATAGTGTAAATATATAGTATATCAAGGTTGGGGACTCTCTAGAAGTCACAATTGTGATCTGATTTTGATGAAACTTGAAATATACCTTTATAACCCAAAGTTCTTTGTTCCTGTGGATATTTGCGCGTAATCGATCATAACTTCCTGAATTATGGCCCTTGATTCTACGAAAAATCTTTTTGTTTAGCTTGTTCTCTATCCATCACTTGCAAAATGCTGGTTCATTCTGCACTTAATAAAAACATGGTAATGCTTGAACTTTTTCTAATTCGTTCGTTTTCTCTTATCTGGTGACAGTCAATTCTTTTTATGACATACAGCTGTGTATCTGTATATTTATAGCTCATAACTTCAGTCAGTTATATAGAAGGATAACTTGTGTTGGTCATTTTTTGCGCCACTTCGTGTTTTTTCAAATGTACGTTACGCATCTACCGTAGCAATGATCTCTGTGTTAAAATTATATTTGGAATGTGTTTAACCAGTTCTATCACATATGTAATAATGGCTGACACCAATATTGTTCTCTAAAATCGGCTTGACACTATCTTTGTCTATCAAAACTGTGAATTTTGATGAAAAGAATGGTCCAGGTGGTTTTTCAATATGCAATCATCAAATGCTTAAGATAATCTAATTTTGTCTGTTTTCAGGATCAAGAGGTGGTCAACCTAGAGCAGGAAATACACATGGAGGGGGACGTGGTGGATTTGGGCGTCCTCAGAACTAACATTGATAGCTAAACAACATATTGTGGCAACTGAATTACAAACATATTATGGCAACTGAATTACAATGTGGACATAGAAAATTCACTGGTCTCAAATTTTCCACATTCAAAAACAAAAAAAATATAACTTTTTTATATTGACGAGCAAGGCAGTTTATCAACTATTTAATTAATATATATATTATAGCGTGTGATATTTTAATTATCTGGGACCAGTCACTTTTCTTTCAAAAAAAATATATGTGACCCGTTACAGCTAAATGAGCTATAAACAAAACAAGTGAAAACATTGATTTTGGTCGAAATTGAGATTTTCACAAAAATGAGTATAAATATACTATCTATCAACCTAAATGATCAAAATGGCAATAAAACATTTTGAAACACCTTTATTTGGACGTTCTGTGAGAGACCGTATTCATGAATTTTAATTTTTTTATACGCCCACATTGGAAATGTGATCGTATATTGCCGTCGTCCCGTACGTCTGTCTGTCCCTACGTCCGTCCGTCTCCACAATTTCTTGTGAACACTCTACAGACTACATTTATCATCTGATTGTTTCGAAATTGATATATGTTATTAACATTAGTGAGATGAAGAAGCCTTTTGATTTTCAACGATTTCCAATAATTACTGTCAGAGTTATAGCCCTTGATCACTTTGAAATATCTTGTGGATGCTCTAGAGGCTAAAGTTAATATTCGATTGACTTTGGATTTATACACAGTGTTTAAGGCCGTGAGATGAAGAAGCCCAATGATTTCAGATAATTACTGCCAGAGTTATGGCCCTTGATCACTTTGAATAATCTTGTGGATGCTCTAGAAACCAAAGTTATCATCCGATTGACTTTAGATTAATAAACAGAGTTTATGGCCCTTGTTTCACTTTGTTGAATCTTGTGAACGTTTGAACGACAAAAGTTATCACCTAATCTGTATGAAATTCATATGCATCATTTAAATTAGTGAAATAAAGAAGCCTATTGAATGTCAGCAATTTCTGTCAATTACGTCTAGAGTTATGACCCTTGATTTACTTTGTTGAACTTTGTGAACGTTCGAACGACAAAAGTTATCATCAAATCTGTATGAAATTTATATGCATTATTTGAATTAGTAAAAAGAAAAAGCCTGTCGAATTTCAACAATTTCTGTAGATTACTTCCAGAATTACGGCCCTTGTTTTAGTTTTTAGAACCTTGTGAACCCTCAAACAACGAAAATCATAATGTCATCTGCATAAAATTGTCTATTAAATTCCCCTAATTACCTACAAAAGAATAAATATGTGACAACCCTTGTCGACTGCTCGGACGATTTAGCTGCTGTGGGCGTATGTTTTGTTGCCTGGCAACTTATCTTTTTTCTTTGCTTGCCGAAGGACGATCAGGTAATCCCCTTGCGTAATTCTTGGCATCATTGTGAAGCGTTACATCTCTAATTAAAAAATATGACCGAACTACTACCGATGATATCATTTACATCGAGTACAAATGAGTTTAAAAATGTAAACAATTAACCTGTTTAAAGTCAGAGCAGGTTGACTCATTTGCTGATTGGCCCAGACATCCCATGTGGCATATCATAAATTAATCAACTAGGTTAAACCCGAAACTTGTCATTGAAAAATACTAATAAATTATCATGGATTAATGAGTCGTTGATTGATAATTGTCAGTAATATTATATGTGAAACCTTTCTCAAGTCATTATTTACCCTGAATAATTAATCCAAGCGATGATTATTTGACATTTCGTTTCATCTTAAAAAAGAAAATCATAAATTTATGTTGATAGTTGAATTTTGATTACTGTGGCTTTATACGACATATAAAATGTACAAGCATGGCTAATTGGACATTAATGTTTCAAATTTTATTATTAGCAAGGTTCGGAAACATTAGAACAACGAAAAAGTCATAAAGCGACGAATCTCAAGTTAGAAAATTCCCCGCCGTTGGTTTCACTATTCCAAAAATCCCTAAAATGAACGTAAGCATCTCTTACACAGGAAATTGAAATTTCAATAATTCTATCAGTGATTCACATTCTGATACTCTTACACTTCCTGAAAATAACATGTACACACAAAACCTTGATTTTCAAGAAATTTAACTTGATTACTCAAAGGATTTTAATCTCACGACAACTAAAGGTTCTAATTAATTGATGAGATTAACAGAAGTTATTCTCATAAAAGTTATAATATACAAAACATTGATTACTAAAGTATGGAGTATTCTCATTTGTTGGAGTATTCTCATTTGTTGAATAGCAAATAAATTGCCTGGTTGCTATGTGATATTGTTTTGGAACATACCAACATCTTTAACTTGCTTTTTCTCAAAACTTACATTCCTGACTTGGGCAGCTTCAAACAGACACAGCAAAGTCAATCTTTGCCTGAATGAAACCAACCACACATCATTTTGAAGGTATTGAATTAGAGAATGCGAAAAAAGCAATAACTTAATTTTCAAAATTTCCTCATTGCGACTCAATATGCCAACACGGGTCACATATAAAAAAAAGAAACCAAAAAAATGTGGACAACCTTGACAGGACTTAATGGAAATTCTTGGTTTTCAACTGTTTTTGTGCAATAGAAGAACTACTATTTCTATAATAAGTATTTTTTTCTAGGAATTTACAACGTTTTGGATACATTATCAAATAATTTGAATTTTGTTTTCTTATTGTGACCAAGAAAATAGTTGTAAAATTATGAGTTTCCATGGATTATTGTGGTCACTTGTGGATGTGTGGTGCAAATTTCAACGGACAACAACAAAATATAACATTACTTTCAAAAACCTTTCTATTCATTCTGGGAGACAATTTTTTTTTTTTTTTTACTGTGAACTATAATGTGATAGTAATTACTGGGAAATGTGATTAACAATTTAATTGTTAAAATTTGTAGTAAATTGACCATTTCTTTTTGTGTTAAATAGTGCTATTAGTCGTGTATAAAACTTTATTCTGCATTTATACTAAAACAAATATGTTATTAATTTTAACATAAAAATTTGAATTGTACCATTTTTTTTTCTTTTTCTACTTAAAGTACATTAAATTGATCACAGGATTTTGATCAATTATTTCATTTGGTTTTGCTTCAGACAATAAAATAGTCAACTTGATATCAGTTTTTATACGCCCACATTGGAATGTGGCCGTATATTGTCGTCGCCCTCTTCCGTCCGCTGGTCCGTGCCTCCGTCGGTCTTGCTTGTGGACGCTCTAGAGGCTAAAGTTAATATCTGATTGACTGAGACGAAGAAGCCTGTTGACTTTAAATTTATACACAGTGTTTAAGGTCATGAGACAAAGAAGCCTATTGATTTTCAGCGATTTCCGATAATTACTGCCAGAGTTATGGCCCTTGATCACTTTGAAAAACCTTGTGGACTCTCTAAAGGCGAAAGTTAATATCTGATTGACTTTAAATTTATACAGTGTTTAAGGTCATAAGACGAAGAAGCCTATTGATTTTCAGTGATTTCTGATAATTACTGCCAGAGTGATGGCCCTTGATCACTTTGAAAAATCTTGTGGATGCTCTAAAGGCTAAAGTTAATATCTCATTGACTTTAAATTTATACACAGTGTTTGAGGTCACGAGGCGAAGAATCCTATTGATTTTCAAAGATTTCTGATAATTACTGCCAAAGTTATGGCCCTTGATCACTTTGAAAAATCTTGTGTACGTTGTTACTCTTAAAGGACAATATTGGTGTCAGTCATTATCACATATGTGATAGAACTAATTAAACATGTTCCAAATATAATTTTAACACAGAGATCATTGCAACAATAGCTGAGTAATACAGGTTTCCTGAATCGGAAGTGATGAACGCCAAAGGAAAACACCAGTCATCCCTCTATATAACTGACTGAAGTGACATGGGCGAATTTCTGCTCAATAATAATTCCTTCAAAGACCAAGTTGTAGGCCGTGGTGTGAAATTTCTAGCTTGTCTGCTTCTGTTTTTCCGTGCCGGCAAGTTTCGGTGAAAAAAAAAGTACATCATCTAATTCTTCTAGTATTACTTTGTATTGCTAAACAACTTTTCTGTTATCCATTGTTTGACAGAAAACGTAAAATAAATACGGGCGTACTTATCAATGTGTGATGGTATTTGAATTTCGCGGTGATTTGGTTTTAACAGATCACATGACATAGCTCGCCAATCAGATACACACAACGAAAGGTTCAACAGGTAGTGTGGTGAAAGGTCACCTGCACTTTGTTTACGTTTTGTTAGTAACGGTACATGGCGGAAGGATAGCTAAAACTGCATACTTCGTGTACATTTTGTTAAAAACACTGAGCTAAAACCGTTCACTGCGACAAGCTGGGAAAAATTTAAGGTATGTGCTAACCAGTAGATCAAATTAGATGGAAATGGCAGGCTTGTGAAGGAGACAAATGATGATTTGCTGGACAAAACTCTCACTGGGGTATAGGCTGCTAATACAGACTTCTCACATTCCACGTTACCAACGTTAACAAAACTGTGCATGAAACATCACGATTCCAAAATTGTTGAAAAAAGTAATCTTTAGAAACAAGCAGCAAAAAAAAGAATAATAGGTCTGGTTAATTTAAGGGGATCATATCTTAACATTTTCCCATTTTCTTGCAAATGCATGCTGATGAAGATCATATTCTCCTAAATGCATGACAACCTAGACCAAGGACTACTCGGCACAAGACCACTCAGACCATTAGAAGTCCACTCAGTCAAAGACAAAAGACCACTATGGTAAAGACTGTGTCACCATTGAGGTGAAATACAATGTGCAGTACTCGTACCCAAGTTGTTATGGAGAAAAATAGAACCGAAAAAGATGAGTTGGTACAAGTGTACTTGTATCAATATGTATCAATTATTCCTGCACCAGACTGAGCTTGCATGAGTCTCCTGGCTGAAAATGTTGCAGTGACACTGATTTTAATAGTGATGATGATATTGATGAAATTATGTGATTTTTATACGCCCACATTTAAATGTGGTCGTATATTGTCGTCGCCCCCATCCGGCGGTCCGGCGTCCACAATTGCTTGTGGACGCTCTAGAGTCTAAAGTTAATATCAAATTTATACACAGTGTTTAAGATCATGAGACGAAGAGGCCTATTGATTTTCAACGATTTCCGATAATTACTGCCAAAGTTATGGCCCTTGATCACTTTGCAAAATCTTGTGACACTCTAAAGGCTAAAGTTATCATCCGATTGACTTCAGATTGATACACAGAGTTTAAGATCTTGAGAGGAACAAGTATATTGATTTTCAATGAATTTTTATGACTTGGAACAGCTAAATCCATGATATTATAAGTTTTGTATACAAAACGTTAGCATGGGGTAGAACTTTATAAAAACCAAACAAATTCTAATGGTTTTCTCAGTTGTTGCTCTTAATCAGATTTTAGTGTATTATAAATGTTTCATTACCAAAAAAAGTAAAAATATGCGACGATTTAGCTCGGACGATTTAGCTGCTGTGGGCATATGTTTCGTTGCCTGGCAACCTATCTTTTATGAGTAGGCCTACACCTGTATACATGTATTTTTGTAAGTGGTTTTTAAATTAAACATGTTTTACTTAAATGTACTGTACATGTCAATAAATTTTCATATTATATTTTGTCACTTTATGCTTACTATATGTTTTTATTTTACTTTTTTTTTATTCTAATTCATTTCCGACAGTTTCCCCTTGTCAGTGGTGCAGACGGAGGGGCTGACAAGGCACAAGGACAGCAGTCTAATCGAGGTCCCGTGTATACATTGGTGTGCATGTAAAAAAATCCCTTGGTAGTTGGAATTCGATATAAGCGTAGGCCATAGTGCTGTGCCCGGGCAAAATTTCCCTCATAGCACACTGTATGGCGTATGCCCAGTACATGTATAGGAGCACAACAGTATGACGTTAAACCCCATTTCATTTCTAATTCATTTTACTAGAACCATATTTTACTTAGGTAACTGTTTGTTTTTCTCTTATATGTCCTTTTATTAACTGGTTGCCAACCAGTGGTTGGTATATATCTTTTAATTTGGTGCAGTGTATATGGCCACAAGACCTGATCTGTGTGTAAATACATGTATTCTGTGAATATAAGAACCTGAACAGCACATTAGAAACCGTTTTCCAGTTTTAATACACTTTATAAATGATATTATTATTATTATATACATTTTTCATTAATACTAGTGGTGTATGGTATTGTGTACGCGGAAATTTATGTAATTGGATTTGCTTTTTGTTTTTTTCTGTACATATCTTATACTCTCTTGTAGGGGGGTTGGGTAGCCGAATGGGTAGCATGTGCGCGCTGTATCATGAGGTCTGTCATTGAGTCCACTGGTGTGGTTTAGATTCCATGGCTGTACGTGACAAGGAGAAGGGTCGCCTGTCAAACCTCATGGGTTTTCTCTGGGTTCTCCGGTTTCCTCCCACTGCTAAAGACCACTACACACAAGCCAATTATTTGAATAAAATTGAACCATGTGTTAGTCCCGAAATTACCTGATTTGTGTCGAGTGGAAGTTAAACCCCATCTCTCTCTCTCTCTATACTCTTATAAGTCTATTGTTTTCTTTTTTAAAAAAAATAGTATAATTGATGATGGTGAATTATTATTAATTGTATCGTTCAGATCACATGGTATTATTATTGGTTTTTTTTATTTATTCTTCAAGTAAAGGTTACAAACGAGAATTAACATTGGAGTCAATGAGGAAATCTTGAGTGATCTGTGTCCTGTCTGTGTGTGATAAGGCTGTCACTGATATGCCTTAGTTTTGAAAATATGAAGATTAAATTCTCAGAAAATATGAATAAAATAGTTTGGCTACAGAAAAACTAAAAAAAGTTAATTAAAAAAAAAAAAATCAAAGTTTTGAAGAAAAATTGTGATTTTACTGCAAATTTCTCAATTTTCAATTTTTATTGAATTTTTAACAGTAAGTAAAATATTCTAATGCCCAATGTTGGCTTATTCAGTCTCAGAAAGCACAGATAAAGTGAACAGTATTGAAATTTCACCAAATTTTGTCTAAAAATCAGGAATATTCACAAAAAATCTTGAGATTCCCCCCATTTCGATGTAGAAATTAATATTTTCATGACTACTAAAATGAGTCAAAATGTCTAAATATGCCCATATTTTCTTTGCTAATATAACTTAGATGGGATCTACATGTTTGTCAGGTTTAGAAATAGCTCCAGCTTTCCTACAGAAAATTGAAAATTGGTAACACTGAGTTAATAATGTACAGCAGATGGTTTTGTACAAAATGTTCAAAACAGGGGTTGGCTCAATTTTGCCACTATTTTACCCAGAATAAGCATTATTTTCTTCTTTGAAACATTAAATTCTTGCATTTCCTTCATGTAGAAAGCAATATCCCAGCCTTTCTAGACATTTTTTTTACTCCATCATTCTGTTTAGAGAGGCAATAAATGCCCCACCCCACCCTTTTCTATTAATGTGTTTTGAGGGATTTAAATGCACCTGTGTTGACATGTAAATGATCTTATTTGGAATTTGTGGTTGAATTACAGCTAAGAATGTTATTTTTCACCCAAAAATATTTGTTTTGTGCATTTCAAGGATTTCTAACCCTTATTTGTTCAGAGTCAAACGTAGAACCCTGAGGCATTTCAGGCCAATGAGACCACACCCAGATATAAAACTGGTGTAGATGTGTAAATGTCAGTTTAATGTTCAATATTTTCTTATCAAAATCCAGCATTTGTGGTGTTTGCTGCATTTATGTTGCCTATAAAACAATAAAATGTTAATATTTCTCCTTTTCAGGCCTCTTTTTATGTTGTCAACTCTGTCATGACTACTTTTTTGACTTCATTTTTTTCAGGAAATTAATGTAAAGTTCCAGACATCTTGCTTCAGCACAAGGATTGCAATACAAATTTGTAACATGCCTCTGAGGTTTGAGATGTTGGAAACATTGAAATATTCCCAAATTTGTGAAAATTGTGTATTCTGTGACCCTTCTGTTAGAGAGGGGTGATCATAGACCAAATATGGCATTTTTTTTTCATTCATCAAGGCCTATTTTTAACCATAATTCATATTTATTGCACCTATTTTAGTTTATATGTGCATATGTTAGCCAGGGATGGTAAAACATAGCTGTTAGACAGATTCCTTTGGTAATGTAAGTTCTGCAACCATAGATTAGATTAATTCAATCAGTGGCATGTTCAAGGGGTAGGCATACATGTTTCAGTATAGATCTCTAATATTACAATCATTGCAACTGGTTTGCATTTTTTCTGTTTGCATATTGTCCACAGATTCTAAAAATATATTTCTTGTCCGTCCGGATATTTAAAAAAGTGGAAAATTATTGGTATTTTGAGAGATGCTACATGTAAATTTTGTACATTTTTCATCACATGGCAGTAAAAAATTATATTTTTGAAAAAAATTCCAAATTATGAGTGTTTTCTATGTAGTTTCTTTGTAACTTGTCTAATTTTTTCACAGAACTCAGATACTGCCTTTAATAAGAAATATTTTTAAATTTTAGCACAAAAGGCCTATGGACCTGAGATGCACCAGTGTACATAAAGCAGCATGTGTACTTAAAGGGCCATCATTTTTACAGTTATTCTTTGATTTTGATTTTCTTTCACCGGCATGTTGCCAGAACACATGGGAAGGAAATAAAAAAGGCCTTTTGGTGATACCTGATGTTTCACCACTATATAGGACCATAGGCGTACGGGCAAATTTTTGACTGGGGGGCGGTGGTGGTTGGTGCCCCAAAAATGTAGTTAGGTTCTTAGTATGTTACATAATAATAATAAATTTGCTGTTAAATTGGACACATTCAAGAACACAATATTTTTTTATACAACTTTTACAAAGTACAATTGTGTGCCCAAATTTTCCCAGCATTTGGTGCCCAAAATGGGGGGCGGCTGCCCCCCCAGCTCGTACGCCTATGTATAGGACACAGATCACCAAATATTCCTACGCCGTCACCCACGAAACAAGGGCCAAAGCTATTTTTAGTCTTCCTCTCCCTTTTCCTTTTTCCCTCTTTTGCATGGCGATTTTTGTTGACTTTTTGGTGTAGAATCGAGGAAAAGGGTTTGAAAATACATTTTCTGCCAGGTTTTGGTGAATATTCATAATTTTGATGCGGAAGGATACAAGAGTTGAGAGGTTGGTTAGGTTGAAATGTAGGGCTTGAAATTGCATGTTTACTTGGTTCTAATTCCAGCTTGTGTATCTCAAGTTTTTCATGAAGAACCTCATACGTGCTTTTGGGCAAGTGGTTGCCACATGTTGCTCCATCTGTGGTAGAAAGCGTTCTACCCAACGAAAATTGGGGAAAAAGTTAGAGCCGGTCTAAGACACGAGAATTAACATTGGAGTCAATGGGGAAATCTTTAGTGATCTGTGTCCATGTAAATGCCAGTTACCTCCCTTGAACTTCTCGCAACTAACACCGCTTCCGGTTCAGTTATTTCTCGGACGCCATTTTTTCTAGTTTTGATTTTTACACGCGGAAGATATTTTACTCGAATTTTAGTCCTTTTACGAAAGATTAACCGTCTTTTCTTTTGTTTTTGTGTATTTTATTATCTAAGGTAAGTACTTGCGATCGCTAGAAGTTGTGTCAGCTTCATTTAGCGCTGTGAGTGTGAACTGAAGCCGAAGTTTTGTGAACTTCACGTGGCTTTTTTCATTGGAGGCTTTCGCTCGTTTGTGACGAGTCTAAATCAAAATGTCTGTCAACTTCTAATAACTTTAAATCCTGTTCCGATTGTGGAAGGGAGATGAATGTGTAGTGAACAGACGGACAGGGGCCCAGCTATAGCCCCTAAATGGTAGAGTAACTCTCGCTTTTCAGCGGAGGGTCAGGTAGCCAGCCAGAAGGTGGCGAAGAACAACGACTTGTACTTTTTCTTTCCTTTATTATATATTCTCTATTTACAGTGCTCGGCTCTCTCTCGAGCCCTAACTCTCTCTCCCCCCGAGCTCTCTCTCTCTCTTTCCAACTCTCTCTCGAGCCGACGCGCCAATCCCACGAGTCCGTCTACTGGCAAGGTGTTGCTGCCACAGACGCATGATGACTTCTGTTCATTTCTCGACCAAACGTACTTTTATAAGCTAGTGAGTCACGTGACAGCTTAACCACGCCTACTACCTGTCAGTCATATGCACGCGGTCAGCGGTGCCTTGTCTGTTATGATTTCCGAAGCATGTTATAAATGACAAGTCAAATAAATAGTACATATTAGATAATAATTATGAAATGGAACAATAATTAACTTAGATACATATGACATTAAAATATTACAACAGAATAATCTATAAATCTTACTACGAGCAGTGGAACTGGCTTCCATTGTATTCGACATGATGTAAGGTTACTAACTAGTTCAAAAAGTGGACATGGATCATAACGGTTCATAACACAACCCACGCCTTCCTATAAATGGGTCCACGCATTATAATACCCTTTTAATATACCGGTAAACGCTTGCGTAAGAGAGAGAGAGACAAACAAACTATAAACAAACAATGAAAACCAATATAAAAATGTAAACAAATTATTAATGGACATTAGCCTATGCGGATAATGCGGCATATTATAACAACTCAAATAATCACATGTGGAGTCCTATCCTGTTTATACATGTTCATTGTCACTTATCAAAATGTTTTCAAAATAACATATTATAGTCCTGGAATTCTACAGATAAATTATGGTCTTTTAAGAGCACCCATCGCCTTAAAATAGCTGTCAACATCAGCAGCATACGATGTACATATACTCCTGCTGACTAATCTGTCACCTTGAAGACGTTCTGTAGCGGTAAATGTTTCTTCAATAGCTACTAAATTGCACTGAACACCAACAGATTTCATACTAGGCGTATTCCTTTCTAGAGATAACGTTATGCGAATTGGCGATCTAGGGAATAACTCAATTTGAGGTTCTTCTCCAATATCCAGCTCAGAAGAAATACTAGTAACAGTAGCGGGCTTGTTACTGGATTTTTTAGGGATTTTGAACAGCGGAGTATCGTTATCTTCTGTCGTGTCTCTTTCTTTAGAGCATCTTTCTTTATCCAGTGCTTCGGATATATTCATGTGACGTTTGGAGTCAAGGTGCCTTTTCCAATTCGTGGATTTAGTTGTAGCAAAACCACACCTCCGACATCTAAAATAACCCATAGGCTCTACAAAAATAAGAATCATAATCTAACTTTGGCACCTAAGGGAAGAAAGTTCAGCATATATAATTATCTAAATAGGCCGGTTGTTTAGTCACTCGTCCCAGTCTAGTACGTTTGGTTTGGAAACCTAATCTAGAGAGCTCGTTGTCGTCGGATTGATTATCGTTGTTATCATAATAATGTAATGGTTCTTGAGCAGATACTTGAGGTTCATCGTCACTGGATAGATCACTTTCCGCCGTTACAATCGGATCATTCTCCGTACGTTTCCTGAATTCGCGCAATCGATCAATGTGGACTACTTGACGGCGATCCGATTGCTCATCTATTATTTCGTACGTAATATCGGAATATTTCTTAAGCACACGAAACGGGCCTCTCCAATACTTTTGTAGTTTATAAGGAATGTTTGGCTTTTTCACTGGCGAATATAACCATACTAATGCTCCAGTAATCAAAGGTTCGCGTCCATGTTTTGGATCATAATAGTTTTTCTGTCGTTGAAGTTGTCCTTCGAGGTATTTCCTGGTTATACGATGGGCTTCTTCCATTGTTCTTCTAATAAAATTACTCCAGTGCTGAGTTTCGCGGTATGATTCTCCTGGAGGTACTCCAAATTGTAGGTCAACGGGTGTGTTGACATCCCGTCCAAACATTAAGAAGTTTGGTGTTTCATTCGTCGATTGGTGTGTCGTGGATCTGTATGCAAACATAACATAAGGTAAGACAACGTCCCAATCGTCGCCCCTTTCCTGAACATAGGATGAAAGCATGGACTTTAAGAGTCCTATTAGCTCTTTCGACTTGTCCGTTAGATTGTGGACGATATGGTGTTGTCCTTGTTTTTTCGATTCCCAATAGCGAACACAACTCTTGAAATAATCTGCTCTCAAATTGACGTCCTTGATCAGAATGCAACTGTCGTGGTAATCCGAATCGTAGTAAGAAATTTTCGAGTAATACCCTCGCAACCGTTAAAGCCTCCATATTTCTCATAGCGTAGGCCTCTGTGTACTTTGTAAAATAATCCGTTACGACAAGTATGTACGCATTACCGCGTTCTGTAGCTGGTTCTATCCTCCCTACTATGTCGACCGCTATTCTTTCCATTGGCGCACCTGCTGCATAAGATTCTAATCCGGCTTTTCTTTTTCGCATTTTAATAGGACAACACACAAGGCACGTAGCAACAAATTCCATAACATCTCGTTTTAAGCCCGGCCAGAAATATTTCTGCTTAATTCTTACGGTAGTTTTTGTTACACCTAGATGCGCACTAGATGGAATATCATGGGAAAGTCTTATTATCTCGTTTCTTTCTGAGGTGGGTACAACAAGTCTTTTCCGTGCAGGTAAGCTGAGTTTCTGCTCCTCTATATTAAGGACATCATTTTGAATAACCAATTGGTCCCATTTGCTCCATAGTTTCTTTACAAATGGACTCTCCTTGGAGACAACTCGCCACTCTGGTTTACCACTTAGCGATATCCAGTCGATAATTAATGAGATATCGTGATCTTCCTTCTGTTTGATACTAAAGCCAGTCATATCGATCCCGGTTAAATGTAAAAATGAATCTTCGGGTGATTTAGGACACTTCAAGCAGGGATCTCTTGAAAGAGCGTCGGCAATTTTGTGGACTCTTCCAGGTCGAAATACTATTTTAAAGTCATACATAGCCAACGTCTCCAACCACCGAGCTAGTTGTCCTTCAGGGTTTTTAAAGTTGAGCAGCCATTTCAGAGCCCCATGGTCTGTTCTGATTGTAAATTGACGCCCGTATAAATACGGCTTGAAATGTTTAGCGAAATGGACCACCGCTAACAACTCTCTACGGGTAACACAATAATTTCTTTCTGTTTTAGATAGTGAGCGCGAAGCGTAAGCTATAACCTTTTCATGTGAATCGACAACTTGAGATAAGACCGCCCCAATACCACTCCCACTTGCGTCTGTGTCTAGCACGAATGGGAGCTCTGGATTAGGAAACGTAAGTATAGGAGCTGTAATAAGCCTACTCTTAAGGGTGTCAAATGCTTCCTGGCATTCTTCAGTCCATTTGAAGTCCCTCCCTTTCTCCGTAAGTCGGTGTAGTGGACTAGCAATTCGAGCTTAACTCTCAATAAATCTTCTATAATATCCACATAGTCCGAGAAAACTCCGCACCTCACTAACAGAGCTGGGCTCCGAACAATCACGAATGCTTCTTATTTTACTAGGATCAGTAGATATTCCATCTGAAGATATCACATGACCCAAGAAATCTACTTTCCTTTGGAACAAACAGCATTTTGACGGTTTGAACTTTAAACCAGCATCAGATATTCTCTTAAATACCATATCTAAATTCTCTATATGTTGATGGAAATCCTTAGAGAAGACAACTAGGCAAACTTCCCACTGTAAACCAGCTAAGATGGACTCCATTAACCGTTCGAATGTGCTTGGGGCATTGCATAATCCAAACGGCATAACTCGGAACTGAAATAATCCATACATTGTGGTAAATGCAGTCTTTGGTTTATCTTCGTCCTTAACTTCAATCTGCCAGTAGCCCGAGAGAAGATCAAGGGTGGAAAACCATTTAACTCCACCCAGGCAATCTAGAGTTTGGTCTATTCTCGGGAGCGGGTATGCGTCTTTCTCTGTAAGACCATTAATAAGTCGGTAGTCGACGCAAAATCTTAATGACCCGTCCTTTTTCTTCACTAAAACTATGGGACTCGCCCATGGACTTGTTGATGGTTCTATAACTCTACGCTGCAACATGTCACCTAACATAAATTCGATATCTTTACGCTGGTGAATTGGCACTCTTCTTGTCTTTTGTTTTATCGGCTTCGCATTATTTATTTTTATTTCGTGTTTAACAAGACTCGTCTGTCCCAAATCTGCAGAGGACTTAGCAAACAATCCATGGTGACGTTGTAACAATCTTCTAATCTCATTTGCTTCACCATCTTTTAATCCCTCAGAAGCTCGTTTATAGAGATCACCAAGATGGTTTGGGAGCTCGTTTGTTAAAAGTCGATTTAGCTTCTACTGCATTATCTGAATTCTGATCCATTATATCAACTGGGGTATAATTACCTAGCACCACATTTTTATGAAGAACTTTCACATCATTAGACGGATTCATTATTCTAATCATGACTTTACGTGCCTCCTCCTTCGGTTCTACCAATACACGAGCCGAGAGCACAGCATATTTATTCAATAAAGCTTCCGTTGGCCCTATTAATCCTGGCGTGTCAAGCCATAATTTCTTTTGATCCGCCTGAAGGAAAGCTGGTACGATTTTCTCGTGTCGTGCAGGTAAACTCGTTGTTTCAGCTAAACTTACTCGACAAATGCCAATGTTGCCTTCTAAATGAGCGTCATATTTCTTGTCCGCGACTGTTAAA